GAGTCAGAGCCTCTGTTATTTTAATTGCCTGTGGATTTTCTCTTGACATTTTTCTTCGCTTTTCCAAAACCTGAGTTAAAGTTGGCTGTTCCACACTGCTGACATTTTGTTTAGCCTAGCTACAGCAGCCTCCAGTTTCTCTTTTTTATCTGGAGCCGCCAGTCTCACTCGCCTAACCCTGTGCCTGTTTAGCACGGGATGTCCCCCTAGTGGCCAATCTAAAAAACTACAACAGAAATGACAAGCCACCCTCTGATTAATGAAATAAGTTAGTATCAGTTCATGGTATCGGTTAACTTTTACGAGTATGAGTACACACACATTTTACAGTATCGGCCCCGATACCCGATACCAGTATCGGTATCGGTGCATCCCTAATTTATGTTCTTATGACTTTTATGCTAAAACATTTTTTTAGATCATTTTGTAAATGTTTATTCAAGACGGAAACTGTTTCCAGGTTTCACACAAAACCTTTGATCATCATATAAACCTGACGCGCTCTGCAGCAGATAACCCAGGATGGAGCTTTTACTTCAGAACCAGCTCGACAGCAGCACATGTAATCATCAGCTGACTGCAGTTAGAAATAAGAATCGTTTAGAAAATGTGACAGAGAGCTCTATGCGACCCACAGCAGAGGCTTCGAGGAAATATCTGCAGAATAAGCACAGGACAGTTTTTTTTTTTTTATCTGCTGCGAAGACTTCAAATTTTTATTTTAACAACCTGAATTTTCCTGAACATGGAGACACAGGGGTGTCCTACATAATTAAAGAGCTTCTGCTCAGGACGCCGGTTTGAATTATTTGTTAGACCCGCGAGCTTCAGCGGCTGCTGTTTGAGACTGAGTCTGTCAGACGTATGAACAAACTTTTAAGCTTCACAGTGAAACATCCAAAACTATGTTTCCAGAAAAAAAGGAAAAAGAACTTCCCATAAAAATGAGGATATTTCATCATCATAATAAAAAAGATTAGAGTCTGTAGTTCTCTAGATTTCTGTGACTAAATCAAACAAAATCAATGAATTTGAATGATTTATTAATCATTAATTTTGCTGATTACAGCGGTACACTGAGATTTTACTGTTGTGTCAAAGATCAGGGACTCAGATTTTGATCTCATTGGCTGGAGGAGGTCACAAGGTCTTTAATGAAGAGTCCGTAACATTAATTAACCTGCTGCTGCCTTCGTCCTGTCAGCGAGCGGCAGGATTAGCGCCGCGAGCTGCGGCGGGCACTCCGGAGGGAGCGGCAGCAGGAAGACACGACCATCACAGCCATTAGTCTGGTGTTTGTAGCTCTGCGGCGGCGTAATGACTCGGGGCTCTGCAGATGTTTGCTTCATGCTGCTGAGCCAGTCGTGATGACATGATAGAAGCCTTTAATGAAATCCTGGGTAAGGCTGCGTCCTGCTCTCACAGACTCGGGGCTTGTTGGGCTGCAGCTGCGAGGCTGTGGCACTAATCAGCTACAGGACAACATGAGTCTGAGAGACGAGGCTGTAACAGGATGAAACAGCCTCACAGCGTTTGACAAACGTGGATCTCCAACTCGGATCAGCAGTTTTTGCACCACAGACACAAAATGAATCCGTTCAAATTTTATAGCATGAAAAAATGATGTTTGGAGGCTGGATGGAGATTTCAGAGTTGTGAGTCATCTCACCGTTCACTTAGATTCGTCTTCTTAGTGTGATTACATCCTCCAGCGCCCCGTGACCCTGAAGGTCAGGTTGTTTCCAGAAGTCTAGATTTTCATTTTGTTGAATTTTAGTAACTAAAATCTTTTTCCTTTCAGGTTTAGTTTGCTTTTACTCACTAGAACAGCCTGGATCCAGATTCAGATCAGCCCCGAGAGGTCATCGTGTTTTACCGTGGATCAGAGTTTGGTCCCGCCCCAGTCATAAACCCCTCTAGGTTAGAGTTAGGGTCCAGTTTCTCTCTCCCTGTCTGTACGAGCTTTTCTTTGAACAGGAACATCTTCCACCTCATGAGAGTTTGCCTCTTCAGCCCTGATCCAGCATGGCTGACTCATGGAGGCATGTAGAGGAGCTGCAGAGGCACTCCAACCAGAAGCGGACTCTGAACCTGTACAGAAGAAAATTCTTCATATGGTGACTTTGTCTTCTTTATTTCGGTTAAAGCTGTCTGTAGTCATGTGCAAAGGTTAAAGATGTTCACTTCTCCAACGCAGGCACCATGAGAAAGACTCAACTTCAACTACAAGAAGAACGCAGAGCCCTCAAACAGATGCATCAGTCTGCGATTGTGCGGGAGTTTCAGGAGTAATCCACACAAGAGCTGTGGGAAGTTCACTGAGATGCTCCAAAGCCAGATGAGTAAAGACCAGTGTAAAACCCAAAGCCCCAATCCCAACTTCCATGCCACTGACTTCCAAGTCCTCCGAGATGATCCTAAACCATGTTCATGGGCGAACCCTGATCCAAAATACTGCAGCAAGAGTCCCGACAGGGACGAGAACAAGAGCTGATTCCCCATCTTATCTTAATGACCTTGTAGTACCATATCACCCTATTAGAGCACTTCGCTCTCGCTCTGCAGGCCTACTTGTTGTTCCTAGAGTATTTAAAAGTAGAATGGGAGGCAGAGCCTTCAGTTTTCAGGCCCCTCTTCTGTGGAACCAGCTTCCAGTTTGGATTCAGGAGACACACAGTATAGAGGGTCTGTCCCGTTAGGACATGCCCAGAATAGCTCAACTGACTCCTTCCAATATGGGGGAGCAGCAGCTCTACTCAAAGTAGCTCCTGAGCTCCTCACCCTCTCTCTAAGGGAGAGGCCACCCACAGATCGAGCAGTAAATGGAGAACTTTGCTTTCAGCTCTCTTCACCCCGCAGATCGGTGCAGCGGTCGCATCACTGCAGGTGCTGAACCAATCCGTCAGTCTCATGCTCCCCTCACTCGTGGACAAGACCCCGATATAGCTGAACACCTCCACCCGGGGCAGTAACTCCTCCCTGACCGGAGTAGGCACTCCACCATTTTCCGGCTGAGGACCACAGCAAGGCATGTCAGATGACATCATAGTGACATCACATCCAGCCTCCATATTCAGCTAAATTCAGGTTCTACAAACTGATCCGAACTCAGCGGCCCCACAAGAGATTTGAAGCCGTTTTGAAAGGATGAATCTTTGTTTTATTTTCTAAACTCAAAATTCAACTTCCTGTTTCTCGGCCTGGTCACAGAGCGGCCGTGTTGCTGTCACCTCCTCGCTCTTCGGGCGGGTCACGCCTCCTGACTGTGACTCCTCTCAGTTAAAGCTGTCACCGTGACTAAAACCAGCTCGCTCAGTCAAACGGAAACATTAAAGGTCTTTAAAGGCAGACTTTCAAAATAATATTCACAGTTTTTTAGGCAGTTTAATTTGAAATTCTTTGGCCGACTTCAGACTGTAAACAATCTGCTCTTGTTTCTTTCAGTTTTTTGGAAATGAAATATTTTCAGAGTTTAACGTCCAGCTCGAGCAAAGCAGGATAAACTGATCCGCCAGGGGCGGGTTTTGATAATCGATTTATCGATTAGAATCGATTCTGTCTTGGATAACGCGATATTGATTCATTCAAATCCTGAATCAATTTTTTTATATAAAATTATTTTGCCCGAAACGCCAGAATCTCAGTTTCAACAAGCACCAAACATTTAAAACAGTAACTGAGAGCAGGAACAGGATTCTGCACAGAGACGTGAACACGAAGCTCGACCCGCCGACGCATCAGGATCAGTGAGATGTGACTTTCTCACCGACGGCACGGACACGGTCGGGGCTGAACGCCGACAGCTCGCTGATGCTGATGTTTCGGCGGGTCGAGCTTTGTGTTCACGCCCTTTTTGTGCTGATTCTGAAGCTGTTAGTTTGATGTCTCCAAACAATAAACTTCACTTCACATAAACATTGTCATGGATTCACTCTCACTTTTGCTGTTTTGCTTCCACCAGGATAACATCACACTTCATGCACAGCTCTCTCTCTCTCTCTCTCTCTCTCTCAGTTTCCCGTCTAAAAATTGTTTTCTTCATTATTCTCTTGCTTGTTACGCACAAGTTGTTTACAGGCTGTCAGACGCTGTTTTTTCCTTTACTTAAAACCTAATTTCTGCCGTTCAATACTGAACAAATTTAAACTTTTTAAAATTATGCAAAATGCAAAACACCGTGTCTCTAATCAAACCGCTGTAACTTCAGAGGTGATGTTCATGTGTTGATTAATGGTTTTCTTTTGTTTTTGATCGACTGCAGAATATTTTTATAAAATCCAGAACAGGAAAATCACCTTCATGTTTTTCTGTTTTATCTTCAGCTGCTTTGACACAAAGGCCTCTGCTGTGACGCTCACACCTTTGATAAAGTCTCGAAAGTGTCAGCTTCCTTTTTATAGATACAAAAATATGTAAATGTACTGATCTGAATTATAATATTTCTGACTGTCTGAGGCAAAATTTCCCAGATTCAAATCAAATCGAATCGAATTGAATCGAATCGATTCGGGACCTTGTGAATCGGAATCAAATCGATTCTAGAAATCAGTGACGATACCCAGCCCTATGATCCACCTCAGGCAAGGATGGCACGGCAGCAAGGACACAAGGAGACGAGGACCCGAGGCGGCGAGGACACGAGGCGGTGTCTGTTTTCTAGAAAATACCCAAAAAGCTTGAATGAAATCCTGCGAGGCAGCACGACTGCAGCCATATTTTATACATAATTAACAGGCAGTGATGCATGAACATGTCCATGCCTCACTCTCTCTCTCTCTCACACACACACACACACACACACACACACACACACACACACACACACACACACACTTTGTATGAATGCACCAAAACCTTCATCTTCATCACAGGCAGACAAAGAAAAGAGAAGAATCCAGCTGGAGGTGTGATGCAGCGACACACCCACCCGGGCGGAGGCAGCCGCACATGTCCTGCACATCCAACCTGTGAAACTGAAAGGTTTTTCCCGGGACGCTCACCTGGTCCTAGTCCAGCACGGGAAGCTGCAGGGTGAGGTTCATCGTGTCTCTGCAGGAGAAGTGGGAGGTACGGATCCCCCGACGTGAGCGATAGGAGCTGAAATGAGAGATGACAGTACGCTGCGCTCGGCGAAACACCCGTCAGATCTTCTTTTAAATGATGCTGTGGCTCGCTCAGCCTCCTCTCACTAAGATCTGTTTGATTTGTGATGCAGAGTCTGTGCAGCAGCTCCGTCTGCTCCACCGCAAGAGGTGAAAGGGAAGGGAGGGGTGCTTTAAGAGTGTGTGTGTGTGTGTGTGTGTGTGTGTGTGTGTGTGAGTGAGAGAGAGAGAGAGAGAGAGAGAGAGTGTGTAGTAGTAGTAGCTGCCCTCCTCTCCTTCTTTCCATCTTCAGTATCGAGCTGGCTCAGACTTAAAAGCACCTTCTGACAGAGCCTTCAAAATAAAAGCCTCAAGATGAAAGCTCAAACCCTTTTCATCGATGTTAGTGCCTCTCTGCCACCAGATCTGCTTTTACAAAAGTTGAATCCCTGATCCAACAACCGGACTCTGACCCATATTTAGCAGAATCTGTGACATTAGCCCCAAATTACAACCTGAAATCAACCCTGTGAGGAAGATTTCTATTGGTCAAGACAAGCACCACGAAATCTGCTCAACTCAACGACGCCACGTACAACCTCGACTGTGAAAAAGTTAGGATGATATATCAAATATAAATAAAGCTGCGCAAAACACAAAAAATTATGATGTCACAGGTCTGTGTTTCCTCTCTAACATTAGTCTGTGATGTCTGTGAGCCGAGGACAGCAGCTGGTCTGTTGGAGGATACTTTTCTTACCTTTTATTGCTTCAGTTTCAGCTTTTTTGAGACGTGTTTCTGCCATCAAATTAAAAATGAGCTCATATTAAACATTTGATATATTTCTGTGTTTTTATTGTGATTAAAAAAAAAGCTTATGAGATTTGTATTTTCTTTCTTTAAATAATTTCCCAGGTTTTTGACTCTTACTTTGAAATAAGACCCTTATACTGAGAATCATGTGTGTTTCCTGCCCTCCAGTGGTCACAGTGTGAAACTGCATTTACTAACGTGTTACAGGTGCTCAGTCTGACACACACTTTCCTGGTAGTTCTTTCAAAATAAGAGGGGAACCAGTCCCATAGACTCCCATGTTATATCCTTACAGCAGTAATAAACATGTTTACAGCCGGATACACAAACTTCCCGTCTCTGTGGATCATTTTCCCGTCATAACAGCTGTTTTTATAACTCACCTTCTAAAGTTTGCATTACTAGGGGCGTGGCCTCTTTGACCGGCAGGCGGCTGTAGCTGCTAGCTTTCTGCTAGCGTCACCTGAACTGGACCTCTGGACCGTGTTTGTGCTGTTGGAGCCTTTTGGAGCATCTTTCATGACATCATCAGATATGTCACATCTCTGCTATGAGGTTACTATAGCAACAGGCCGTCCAACAAGGCTGAGCTCCAGTTTCAGTGATGGCGGACAGAGACTGATGACCACGCTTTAATTTTGAAAGACCGGAGCTCAGCAAGAGCGTTTCCTGTCGGGTTTGTTGTTTCCGGTGTGGATGCAGCTGTTGGAGGTCCCAGCATCAAAATGACCAAGCTGCAGCTGCTGAACGCTTACCTGACGGAGCGGCTGACGGTGGTGGTGAAGGAGATCCTGGACGTGGTGGAGGACACGGTGGCCGAGTACCGGGAGGAGACTGCCAGAGCCAAGCGGGAGAACGAGAGCCTGCGGAGGCAGCTGCGGGACATCCTGCTCCTGGAGGCCGGGACCGAGTGGCTGAGTAAGGGCCGAACTAGCCGGCTAGCTCCGCGAGAGAACGCGCATTCAGAACTGCGATGAAAACCCGCCCGTTTAATAGAAATACGCCGTTTTAACGTTAAATTCAGGCTTAACTGCAGATTTTCACGGTTTTGTGTGTTGTTAAGGACGGATTTGTGTGTTCGGCTTCATTCAAACCGAATGATTTTACCGACATTTTTACGATAGATGTGACTTTGTTATTTTTCGTGTCAGTTCCTTTTTGCCTTCGAGCCTGATGAGAGTCACCTGATGTAGGTAGTCGTTTCACTTTTATTCACGCACTGTTTTCATTTAAAGTTTATTTACACATCTCATTTACCCCATTAAAAATAAAGGGGGGACACAGCTGAGCAGTAAATTGGCAGACTGTCACATTGACTTTGGTGTGAGGAGCTTTGCGTGAGGTGTCAGTTGGGGAGAGCTGACTTTCAGGAAGTTTGAAGGACTTTCGGTCATTCGGGGGAATTCCGTACATATTTACGGTACAGCACATTGAACTGTAAAAAAAACACATTTGAATAGAAACCAGACGGTGAGAGCAAAGGAGTTGTTTATGTTCGGTAACCTATGAAAATATGTCAACCTCTAAAATAATGAGGATAACTGGCTGACGCCTGGTGGCACTACTGCTTAACATGGACCTGTCCTGCTTTGTTTTATGTCCTGTTTTAAATATTGAGGTCAGTATAAGTACATGTATCCCTGTGAGCTAAAAAAAAAAAAATTAAAATGGCCCCACCCACCTCCTGTTTATGAAGAGGAGCCAATCTGAAGACAGCTGGCTTAGAGGACAAGTGGCTGTCACTATTCAGGAGTGACAGTGTAACACAAAGGGAGCTTATTTTGAAATGTAAATCATGCAAAGCTTTTCTTGGGGCCCAAAAACAAGTGTAAACTCTGGAGCTGCAGGTGTGAGTCGAATGTTTCTGCTGACGCGCTGGACTTTCTGTGTTTCAGAGTCCACCAGGTCCAGTCTTGGTTTGGTGGCTCCCGACCAGCCTGGTGAGCCCGACCGGAGGCCTCGCTCCGAAGAGCCGGACTCTCGCCCGAACCCACCAAGACCGCCGTTGCCTAACGTGGACAAGCCCACCCATGAGCAGGTGGTGTCTGTGCAGCTGCTGGCGGTCCACAGTGACTCCTCTCCGGGGCCGGTGCACCTGCCTGTGGAGAAGAAGCTCATGGAGCTGCGAGACGTGGCACCAAAGCCCGACCGTCTCCAGGAAGCGTTTGGGAAAACTTCACCTGTCACCTCGCACTCCTCCCTAAACCCTCCCACTGTCTCCGTCCCCAAAATTCACATTGAAGTTCCTGCAGTGCTCAGGGAGGAGCCCCGGGCTCCGCCCCCCACGCTCATCAAAGCCGAACCAGAGGAGTTCAGCGTGAGCAAGCCCAAAGGTCGCACGGACTCTGTGACCGAGGCCGCAAACGGTGCCGCCGAAGAGTTCTGGAGCAGGGCGGAGGCGGAGAGGACGGTGGTGGTGGTGCGCGCTGAGAGGCAGGAAGCTGAGCGGAGCAGGAAGTCCTCCCAGGAGAAGCCGGCAGCCGGAGACAGCGCAGCCTCCGCTTTCATCCCCGAACTCGTCCATCGCTGCCCGCGCTGCGGTGAGGCCTTCGGACAGGCCGCCAGCCTCCGCCTCCACCTGGAGCAGAAGAGGAAGACCTACGCCTGCGACTGGTGCTGCAAGTCGTTCGCGCAGTCGGCGGACCTGCGGCGTCACCTGCGCACGCACACAGGGGAGCGGCCGCACCGCTGCACCTTCTGCTCCAAGAGCTTCAGCCAGAGAGGAAACCTGCGACGGCACCTGCGCATCCACACGGGCGAGCGGCCGTACAGCTGCCCGTTCTGCTGCCGCACCTTCAGCGACGGCGACACCATGAAGAAGCACAAGCGCACGCACTCGGGAGAGAAACCATACCGCTGCGCGCAGTGCGCCAAGACCTTCACCAGCGCCAGCGGCCTGCAGATTCACATGAAGAAGGACATGTGCTTTGTGGCTAACGCCTGATTGGGCGCTTCGGGAATGGACGCCGTTAAGATAGAGCAGAATGACCAGGCAGAAATGCTCAGCAGCCAATCAGAGTCATCGAATGAAAGCTGGATGTATGACCGATGACGTCACTTTGCAGGGATGCACCGGTCTGATGTTTCAGACGGCTGAAGCCGTTTCAGGTGTTCTGTGATAGGCCTGTGCGATATGACCAACATCTCATATCCCGATATAAGACATCTATCGTCCCGGTAACGATATAAATCACAAAAATGTAACATTTTCTGTAAATTCTGTGAATCTCGG